TAGCTATTAACCAACTATAGAAAATAAACTGGGAAGATAAGTGAGCTAACGAATGAGGAAGTGAATGGATTAAAATATTTCCATAAAATATTTTTACTGTTTATACTTGTTAACTGTTACTGTTAGTTATTGCTAAAGAGCAGTTTTGATTTATATGCAATATGTTTATTTGGAATAAGTGACATGCCAATCAACTGTAGCTCTTCCTGTGAGCCAGCTCAGGACTGATTCCACCTCCTCAACTGTTGTTGCCTTTATTGGACTATCTCCTGATTTATATCTTAGTACATTCGAGAAGAAATTGCTCCTCTTTCTTGTTTAAAATATTAGGTCCACATATTTTTCTTAGAATCTACAGCTTCATTCAAAACCCACTGATGTCCTCCAAAGAGGTTCCCATTTATCTCAGCTGATGTGGATTCAAGACGCTAAGGAATTCCTGGTTGTGCTTTCACTGTCCTGAAATTTTCAGGCTTTGGATCAAAGGTACAACAAACCTGTACTGAAGGCTCCTCTTGCAATGTGGGTGTGTGATGTCAAATGCTGATGTGGGTTATAGTCACGCTGCCAATTCACATTGCAGCTTTTGAACAGATTTTCTGACAGCTTGACTTTCAGCAGCAGGCTCATGCCAGGTTAGACGTCCATGTTGCATCCATTTAACTTCATGCTAGATGTGGTCTGTACTTCTGCAGCTGGCTCAAAGTCAACATAAGCTTCCTATATTGTGCTCTGACTTAGCTGAACAGACATGTGATTGTATGCTCATGCCTGGTTCAGATCAAACTAATACTGCTCAGTGACCTGTAGGGTACAGATGAGGTATTAATGATGGTCTTTTGGCAAACTGTATGAAACAGTGGATAAAATGTTATGACTTTGCTTTTTATAGCAGTCTTTTACTTTGCAGTCTCTTTAAACGGTGAGAGCTGATGATAGAGTCTTTCTTAATAATCTCTCTCCCCCTACCGGGACTTTTAAGTGGAAGAATTGTCTTTTTTTTTCTCCCATAACAGCAAATGTTTATCAATGATAAAAAGAACAAAACCTTTTCCTTCTACTTCTGCATCAGAGAAATGCCCAGGCAAAAGTTTATCAGAACTGGAGTTCTGCATTACTTTTGTCTGTCATCCTTTGTTTGAGGTAACAAACCCAGTAATACAATCTCTCCAAAGTACACCCTTTTCTTGTTTTTTCCTTTCAGTGACCAGTGACTAGACCATCTTTGGCCTTCATCCATTTCTTTACACAACAAATTCTCTTTGCTGTTCTTGGCATCACTAAGGTGCTGTTTATGCACAGATAATAAGTGCAGACCAGGATGTATTGAGGATGCAACATTCTGTATTTAACAGTAGTGGTTTGACACTACTCCCTTTTCTGGTGTTGCTTTTGGGATTTTTTTTCCTGACATATATTTTCCAAGCAGCTCAGGTTTAATCATGTATAAATAGCAATTTCACTGTATAGTTGCAGATTGTTATTTTAACTGACAGACGGCCTGTCCCTAAATGAAAATGTCACAAGTGCACAGCCCTTGATTTCCTGGATGTAATAAAGTAGATGTTATTGTTACAATTTGTAGCGAAAAAGTATGAGGCCTGGGGGCAGGGGAAGCCCTTCTGTCCAGTCACGAAGTTCACAGCGGACCCCCTTGCTCTCCAGACTCCTCTCAGCAAGGAGCCTAGGTGCAACTAGGTCTGACCCTGATCCCAGACCTCGTCAACAGTTTGTGTCTAAAGGTATGTGTAGTGTTGGTGTATAACTCCCAGGCTTCTTGTTCTTTCGTTATTAATCTTATCTCAGAACCTTCAAAGGACTTTCACTGAGGCAGTTTTGCAAGTCAGTGTTTGCCTGTCAGAGCCCTCTCAGGGTCTTTCACTGAAACAGTTGAGCAAAGTTGCAAATATAGTTAATTTATTAAGGTGACAGATGTAACAAGTTCAGAATTGTGGTTGATAAATGCACTGTCTCACACAGCTATGTCATCCCAAAATATTAATATATATCTCTGTTGACTACCATTAATTATACAAGCATGATAACAAGTAAGCAAGCATAAGTTAACGCTACAATAAGCAAGCATAGATTAATACTTCAGCACTATAATTGATTAACACGATTCTCACCAAGAAGGTGTCCCTACTTGGCAAAGAGAGAGGTTCAGGCCCATGGACCCGTCCAGTAGTTGGAGTTCTCACCCTCAAAATGGAAGATTTAAAATGCTAGATTTATACTCTTGGCGAGGTGGGACTGAGTCAATTGATGTGTTGGCTGGCTCCTAACAAGGCTTGTTGTGTTGATCAGAAAAGAAAGCGGAGGGGAGTGGCTGAGAGCAAAGCTGTTCTATACAGAGGTGTGGGGTCTTTTGTGGCTGTACTGAAGCAACACCGGGCTATGAGGCCTCTGCCTCACCCCAGACATCACTCCAGTTGATTTGAGTAGACAGCCAGTCACCACATCTGTCCTGTTCTTTGCAAAATAAGCAAGATGCTCAACCCTTGCATTTGTGACTTAACCTTTGTTAAGATCTGTCCAGTACTTGTTCAGGTCCGGTGCTTAATGGGGCAAGGTAAGTGTATTGCTCAGCCTGCGCTCTTGCTCAAGTCAACCTGCCGCTACGTGGTTCAACACCAACAAGCCCAGTGTCCCACATCGTTGAAATTTGTTTAAAGTGGCTTATAAATACGGGGCATTATGATGTCATCCAGGGAAGAGTCAGTATATATTTGGTACATTTTTGTGGTAGAGCTGCTTTTCTCAATGCTAATAGGTTTACATCGTGTTAAGTAGTCAGTATATATAGGCTCTACAAGCGTTACAACTGTGTTTCAGTGTCAAAACCAGTTGGATTTCTTATGTTATTAGAGCATGCTTCCCTGTCTTTTATATCCTTTGGTGCAGAAAGCCTTTGGTTCTACATACTAAAGACATTTAACTAAAAAATAGATGACTAAATATATGTAATACGCACACACATGCATTTATATGATGTGAATGTGTGATGTGAATGTTTAACTTAACCCCACCCAGCCTTTTGCTAAGAGGAATAGCATTCATGTTATTACCAGGGGCAATTTAATGCTTTTTGCCTAATTTTTGCTGGCTGGTTCCATTTTAACACTCTGTAACATTATACGACTAACTGCTGAGGAGCACACTGATTCAGCTTCACTGAGTTTAAAATACAAACTGCTTCACAGGAAAGAAAATAAAACGTCTTCTCTTATTTCTCTGTTTTAATTGGACATCTTTGGTGAGAGCAGACAGTAGTCGTACAAAGCTTAAAACCTTTTTTTCTGGTACCCACAGTGAAGTTGAGTGCAGAACAAGGAATTCTCCTTACATGTTTGTCCTTGGAAATTTCCAGTCCTTCTAGCTAAATTTCAGGATGGGTTATTAAGTGTTTTCTTCTTTCCTTACCCTTGAGTTTTCAGCCAGATGCTATATTCTTCACTTATGTTTCGAAGTAGTAGCAATGAGTAAGTTGTTTTTCTTGAAGGGCTGACATATATCATCCCAAGGAGTACATTATGTGGTGGATCATGCAATCAGCTTCTAACATCTGTACATGAATTTAGGAAGCACTTAGGGTCCCAGTGGACTGAGAATCATGTATGTTCTCCTCACATATATATGAGATATTACTAATTAGTCAAAGAGAAGAAGAATAATTTGAAGAGAAGGCACAGACCTCTGAAACAGGAACAAATGTATCTGTTTGAAAAAAAAAAAAGCTATAATGTGAAATTTTTAGGGTGAATTGCAAGTTTTTAAGATAATCCTATTTGATCTGGAGGAGATTGAAGGATCTGGATTTTATTCCTATGACTGTGAGGCCATAAATGCTTTAATGTACTTCTTTCTGAAGTTCACAACCCATTTGAACATCCTTGAGAAAAACAAGTGTATGAGTTGTACAACCAAGTCAAAAGTAGATTTAATTTAGAAAGTGGTTTAAATTGAAGTATGTTTCAGTATTTGTCCTGAAGTTGCTATCCTGCTTTGGGGAACATAGTCTGAGCAAGGGGAAGCAGCTAGAAATGTGAATCGTCTAATTATTAATTTCCAACTGTGATGAGAATTTGTTAGATATGCAACAACTTCCATATGACGACCTACATTTTAACTTTTTCACCTTGATGTGTTTTAGTACAGGGGATTTGTAAACCACCATCTGTGACCTAAATCAGAATGCAAAGTACACAGAGTATTTTGCAGATATGTCGTACTTGTCAGCTACCTCTGTAATCATCCTGTGCTTCTGTGTAATAGCCATCAGTTTGAGTCCTGGCAGCAGTGATTAAAAGCAGACTGTGGCCTTTTCCAGGAAGTCCAGAATGGCTTCTCTGCTTGATCCAGCTCCAATTCCTCTCCCCAGACCTCTGAGGAATGTTGGGTTCCAGCTGTAACTCTCTTCTGCTGGGGAAACTGTGCGGCCCATGCACTTCGCCACACCAGACCTATTTCAGGGGTGGCTGCAGGCAATTTGCGTGCATGCCTGCAGCCCCTCTGCGTTTTTGGATGGCTAGTGGTAGGAATTATGGAAGGGCTTGCAATGGCTTGGAGCTGTGGGGTTTGGTAGGTTTCAAGGCACAGTTGTGTTCCTGCAGCATCCTTTGGTTCTCTCTTCCCACTTTCATCAGAGAAGGGTATGCTTGTGGCTTGGCTGTGCCTCAGCTGAGGGCTGCTCTTTTATCTGGACTCTTCCAGTGCTATTTTTTCTGACGTTTATCTGTGATGCCTGGTCTTCAGTTTATGTACTTCAGCACATTTTAAACATTCATAGTTTTCTTCAGTCCCCTTTAGAATATTGCTTTTTTGTGTGTGTTTGGAGAAGTTTGTAAAATCCTTATATTGGTCCCCTGTTTTGTCCTCATCTGAAGATACTCAGTTCCAGTTACTTTTTCTGCTTTGCAAAGTTATGTGAGTTCCGTGGCCTCATTGTGGGTTCATGGGAGATGAATACTAACCTGCTTTGTTTATTTCTAGGTCTTGGTTATGGACCCCAGTGCAAGTCCATTGGAAAAGGAAGCTGCAACAATGTAGTAGTTACCGGCAGTCCCATGACAGTTCAACAGCTGGGACCTGTTTCACCTCCTGCTAATCAGGTTTTGACAGCATGCAACCAGATCAGCCCTAGCTTACAGAGGTCTCTGGATGCTTCCAGCCTGAGTGGTTCTCCATCAGATACAAGGTCTCGAGTTACTTTTTTATATTCAGTACTTTAAAAAGAGGGTATCTTAATTCTTCTGTAATTTAAATGCAACCTTTCTTATGGTTAAAATGTCCTAAATGGTGCTTTGTTATGCCACGGGAAATTTAATTCAACGCAATCTAATTCATGTCAGCTATAATCATACTGTTTGGATCATTTAATCGTGGGTGGAATTTGCCACACATTTTCTATGTTTGATAGGGCTTTTTTGTAGATAAAGATTTTTATAGTCACTGAATTGTGTTTTTGTACTAAGGACAGGAAATGTTATGAAGGATAAAAGCAGAAATAGTCCACGTGTTACATCGTCAGGGGCAGTGACCTGTTTTAAGCTTACCATAGTGCTAAGGGTGTTATGTTGGTGCCTGTTAAGTGACACTAATGTCAGGTGAAATAAACTTAAATGTCCTGCTAACGTTCCTCTCTCCTCATCAAATACCTTTGCTTTCAAATTGTTTAATTGTTTACATAATTAAATTAATCAGATCGATTTTTCCCAGTCTTCACTAAGCCAGCAGTTAACTTTGTCTGTGTTAGTCTATGTCCCTGAAAACTTTACCATTTTCCTGGCTCTGGTGGGTAGTTAAATAAAAACTATGGGCTCTCCCTGTAAATGTTGCCTTTTTGTATCACTGAACCACAGATAAATGTTTGTTAATTAATTTGTAAATACTTGAGTAACTTTTGAGATTATGGCTATGAGTATTGTTGACAAACATGAATGAAGGGAAAATAATTATTTCACAAGCTTCATCCAAATACATTAAGCACATCCCTGGATATTAGTTAAAGATACAGTGAGAAAACAGTCTGGTGTGTTATTTCAGAAGCTGTGTTCACACTTCTGCAGGTGTGATTGTGCAAGAATTGCTTACTGAGTTGAAATGTAACTGTCCTTATTTACAAAAGGCCACGAGTCTTTATTCTCAAAACGGGTTACATTTTACTATATCACTTTATTACAAGCCGAAGAACGTTCTTGAAATAATTAAAATTGGTACTATGTAACTGGAAGAAAGCCTTGCTTTACTCTGTTATAACATAGTTTGTGACATTTCTGTCACTTCCATTGTGACGATTGAGTCCCCCAGGACAATTTACAAGATTAATTATGCTTCCTATGTAAACGTGTCACAGAAAACCATTCAGTGCTAAGACGATGACAAATGACAAATCCAGAGACATGCCTTTGAGGCAGAACAAAACTGATGGTATAAAAATATCATTAAGTAATTGTTACTTACTTAATAAGTTTTAGGTGTGCCTGCATAGTTCCAAAGCATTGTTATTTGAATGTGTGGCTGGGTGTACTATGTTAGTACTGAGTTATACATTTTTGTTTTTATTTTAAAGAAACATTTACTACGGGTGAACTGAAGTTGAAACTCTGGCAGAATCAAGGCTCTAGTAGCCCTAGACTCTCTTTTAATGATTTATCAATGAAGATGTTAGAAAATCAGTTTGTCACATAAAGAATGTCCATTTCAGCAATTTTGCCTTCAAATTTACTATTTTATAGGGCAAAACAAGTTTAAAGTCAGATTTGAAAAACTTTTTTTTTTTTTTAAATTGTTTCAGCAGTAAACTGCATTTGTCTAAACTAATTGCTGAGACTGACTCCGTAACCCTTCAAGGGCTGAGCACCTTCTCTGGATTGTATCTCTTGGGTATCATGAACTATGCTCTGGCAGCTCAATCCAAACCAGATTATTTGCTAAATTGACCCAAACCAAACCAGCTTGTCCTGATTTCTGATAGAAGAAAGAAAAAAGTTGCAAAATTGGAGTTTTGTAACTGATGACATCAGGTTTTGATATATAGGCCATGAGGGGTAAAACCTTCCCCATCTTTTTTGAGAGTTTCCCAAATTCCGGAGTATGCAGTTATTCTTGAAACCAGATGTAATAGTGCCATTTACTGTGATGCAAATCAGAAAAGGACCTAGGAAAGAGCAAAAGGTTCTTTTTCACAATGAGAGAGCCATCAGCTGTTGGAATAATCTCCCCAGGGAAGTGGCGGCTTCCCTAACATTGGGCACTTTCAAGATTCAGCTGGACAGGGTGCCGGGCCATCTTATCTAGACTGTGCGTTTGCCAAGAAAAGTTGGACCAGACAATCCTGGAGGTCCCTTCCAACCTAGTTTCTATGATTCTGTGATTCTTGGCTAGTAAAACAGAAGACCATGCAAAAAGGTAAGAAAACATAGTTTTCACTCTTCCATGTTTGTTTAAGGCAATGTGGTCTCTGTATACAGAGGGAGAATAGAAAGTAATTGCAGGAATCTCTTCAAAGTGTTCATAAAAGATCTGGTCCAAAATCAAGCTGGTTTAGATTACAATAAGCAGACATGCAAATTAATACCATCTGAGAATCTGGCACAGTGGTATAGCTGGCCCTTCATTTTCATACTAGGTATATTTATTTTCTCCCAGAAAACTGCTTAGTCACAGTGTGGTCTGGGTTTTAAAGAAATTGTCTTTGTTTTGGGAGCTGGAATCTTTTGTTACTTTTGAATTTAGAGACTTAAGTGAGAACCAAACTTCTTCAGATTGTCTGTTTCTTACTGTATACTTGAAATTCTGGGCCAACTTTTTGGGTTTGTCCTGTTATGAGGCTTCTAAAATGCAGGTTTTCTTCAGCTTCACTGATGGATGTGTCCCTTTGTGTTAGGCATTAGTAGCTTTTTGAATGACACTGGTCCAACTATGCATCTGATTAAAATTCTTGACAAGACAAAAATAGACTTGTTATGTTGGTGCATGATTTTTTTACCTATTTATAAAACAGAAAATAAAAATTTAAACAATCAAACTGGCAACCACCACCCCCCGCCATTTATGTTTTCTGAATATATATATAACCTAACAAGGAAAAATCAAACCCTACTTACTTTTGTTGCTCTGCTCTGTTGAAGACTGTGGATCTGTATTTGGGGTCACAGCATACTAACATGATTTAACTGCACATAATGAACTGTGCTTTAACAATCTGACCCAACAGCCCGAAACAAGTTTTTTCACAAATAATTATCCCTTTAGATCTAAATCTTACACAAGACTGACCTGATACAGCAATTCCATTTTTCTCATTTCTCTCAATGCGAATTGTAGTCACTATGTTAATTGTGCTTTTCTTCAGTGCTCTGTTTTGAAAGTGCTGTTTAAACCCTGATGGAGTAACATAACTTCCGTAACAGTGGCTTATACTGACATTCAATCTGAGCAGGATGTTTCTTATTCTGATACAGCAGGTCAACCATCCATTACAAAGCAAGTATCTTGAGCAAAGAGCCCATCTATCCCATAGGTCACCACCGCAAGGCTGGGTGAGATTTAAAGCTACATTTTTGCTGTTTGTGAGCTATCTCACCGCGCAAACATAGCACCTGCAAACTGCTTCCTCTCTCCTTCCGCCTGTGGCAAGCTGCCCTTCCAGACAAAAAGGGACTTCAGGGGCAGCCACTCAGCACCAATTCCCCTCCTCCAGCTCTTTGGCAATGGCTGGGCTGCGTTCTTGCAGCACAATCCACCCCTTAAACTGAAGTCACTGCAAGACAACTTTTCTTTCTTTATGTGGGTTGACTCTCAAATGCTGGAAGATGATGTAATATTAAGTAGTAGTAAAAAACTGCATCAGTCAGGGAGTGCTTGTGTGGTGGGCAAAAACCAGACACTGTGATTTTTCAGCTTTAACCTCTGTGGCTAGAACTGAATGGGGAAAGCTATATATTTCTCTTGCCTGAATGACTTAGTATTTTCACACATTCTTTCAACCTTGCTGATCTAATTGAAAGATAATCCACAGATCAATTTACCAAGCAAAATCCTGGAAATTTGGTAAATGTCACCATATTCACTGGCAGTATTTCCAGAGCCATTGTTTAGAATCTACTTTTGCTCTCTTGGGTTGGCTGATGTTGTTTTAAACTGTATTCAGATCCCCAGTTTTAGCCTACCACAAATTCTTAAATGTAGTTTCATGTATCTCCACTGAAGCTGAGGTCGCTGCAGCAGGGCTGTGGTGTAGACATACAATGCAACTATGAGCCTTAACATACCTGTCCCATGGATCCATTTTCTGAAGCAACATCTATAAGAAAATCTTGCAGAACTCAGAAGTGACTGCAATATTGCTTAGCCTGAGAGGACATCAACACTTGCTTCCCTATTAAAAAAAAGAAAGTAAAATAGGTAGAAATACCTCCTCAAAGGTGCTTGCTGTAACTGTGTCTGTATCAAGAAAGAGATGACATGTGTTTTTATTAATTTTCTTTATGGTGCATACTTTGTCTTATAGAAATTTGAAGTTTATAGCTTCAGAATTCTATTTTATAGAATATAAAACCATGCAGTAAAGTAATAATAAATAACTGACTACAGGAACTTACCTTTGTAAATAAGGATACGTGATACCCTGCCTACATGAGAGCTCCTTTGGATCATTGCATGTAAATATTTCAGATACTGTTTACTTAGAGCTTTAAAAAATGTTTTTCAACAGCTGGTTGTACCTATTAGCACTTATTAGCTGTCTTTTTTGAAGTTAAATTGACTTCACAAAGTCTTTGTATGGTAGGAGGAACTACTGTGTATGTTGTTTTTTATGTGAGAAGCTGAGGAGTGACTGATTTGTGCACCTTAAAAAGTGCGGTTTAGATTTAGAAGAGAAACCAAATTTCCTATGCACTTGATCCACCATTGAAATTCTATGCTTTTTCAAAAGTGTACTGTGAGGATATTAAACCCAGGAATTAACCCTCACAACATAAGATGCAGAGCTTTCTGTGTCTTGTGAGATCTGCAGGTTTATCTAGATACATACTTGGTTCTTCCTGCTGTTAAAGCCCCTTAAAATAGAAATTAACATACTGATAGCACCACTGGCTGGCAGGAAATCCAAGTCTGCCAAAATGTGAACTGGGAACATAAAGACATAAATCCCCTTGGCCTCTACCCAGCATTTGCAGCCATGAATCAGGGACTTGTATTTCCTTTTTATATCTCTCTGTAGAAAACAATATTGTTAAGAGCTTATGAGTTCTCTTTTTTAAGCTACCCATAGGATATTTGCAGTATAAACAAGTTTCATAATATTCTGTGAAAAAACAGTGACAACAGCAAGATTACACTTCTGTGGAAAATTTTGATTGCTGACTTGGAGGCAGATACATCATCAAATCAAAACTAAACCCCTTCAACCAGTTCTTCTACATTATTCATTTACGTTGTTTGTTTTGTAAAGTTAGATGTTATCTATATTTATAAACTTAAGCTATTTCTGTAGAGAATACTATTTGTATGCATTACAATTGGCGAAGTCATTCAGGTTAAATATTTATTCTTTTTTAATCAGTTTTCGTCCTGTTTTTTTGCTAGCAAAAATGATAGTTAACTGAAATCAATATGAATTTCATACAAAGCAGGAGCATAATGCTTTGGCTTCAGAAGCCCAAACCTATTTACACCACAGTTCATGAAAAAATTTGGATTGATTTCTGCAGTCATGTGTCAAGAACATTTATAGCAACATTTCATCAAAATCTTGAAGTTTTAAAGTTAGTTTACTAAGTGACCTTGTTACATGTGTATTGCTTGTGTATGCCTGCTGATGCATTATCTGAGAGTGCTAAAGCTAAATACCTAAAATTAGGGAGAACTTTTCTCACATGTAGCCTTTCTTCGATTTTATGTGTGTGCGAAGATAGAAGAACCACAGCTGAATTGTCTAACTGCTTACTTTTTTGTGCCTTTATTCCAGGTCACTCTTGTCACATGAGTCTCTGGCCTCTACTACGTCAAGCTTGTCAGAAAGTCAGTCCGCTTGGAGTGTTAAGCAAGAGTGGTCACATGGGTACAGGACACTTCCTCCTGACCAAGGTTTGCAAAATGGCAGTGAGCTTGGAGACTTACTAAATTTTTCACCCAGAACATCTGTGTCCAGTAACTGTGTCTCTGACTCTTTACCGTCCTACTTACATGGCATGGAAAATAAGCATTCCCCTTACTCTAGTCCTCGCCATTTCTCAGCGCTCTCTCAATCAGCCCGCTCCAAAAAGAGAGCACTCTCTTTATCTCCCCTGTCTGATGGCATTGGGATTGACTTCAATACAATCATCCGTACATCCCCAACCTCTCTAGTGGCTTATATCAACAGCTCCAGGACATCACCAGCGAACATCTCCCCACAGCCTGAGGTCTATGGGCATTTTTTGGGAGTGAGAGGAAGCTGTATACCCCAAAACTGCTCTATTCCAACTGCCCAGAAAGGCCTTTTCATGGCTAATGGCAATGTCACCCTCCCAGGGTATGTTGAGAATGGGGCTGGTGAGTACCAGCGGATGCAGCAGCTGGAGCAAGCCAGCTTGCAAATGGCCAGCACAAGTAACATGGTGATCCAGCAGGGTGTGCCGCCTCTGGACAACCAGGCGGTGGGTGTCCTGAAAAATGAATGGCTGGATGACTTCTCAGGCCATAGAGTTGACATGCCTCCTCCACCTCTGCTGCCACCGCCTCCTCCACAAGGGCCACCGCCACCATACCATGCTCATCAGCACCGGCATCCATACAGCCTCCCCAGTCGCATTCGCCCGCTGCCTCTGCCTCCTCCTGCCCCAGGCTCCCTACTTGACGAAGATGGTGAGCTAGACGGCTTCAATGGCAAGCATGGCTGTCGCTGGGTTGACTGCGGTGTGCTGTATGACCAGCAAGAGGAACTTGTGCGGCATATAGAGAAGATCCATATAGACCAGAGGAAGGGAGAGGACTTCACTTGCTTCTGGGCAGGGTGCCCACGAAGGTACAAGCCGTTTAATGCCCGTTATAAACTGCTGATTCACATGAGAGTCCACTCAGGAGAGAAGCCGAACAAATGCACAGTAAGTCTAAATTCTATCTCTCTTACCAATAAAAGGGTCTCTGTTACTCATGAAAATACAGAGAAGCTGTAATTCTGCCTTTGTTTTTCCTAGTTAATGGTGTGCTTTTCTAAGTAGTCTGAATGAATCACTGCTCCATCTTTCCACCTAGATGGAAAGGAAAGGTGTTCCTTAATTTGATGTGTACTGACAGACAGGGTTAGACAAAATTTTATTTTCTGAATTTAGACAAAATTTTATTTTCTGACTTTATAAGCTTTTACTGTAGACTGCGAAAGTGACAAGGTAGACCTTCATAAATCAAAACTTAAGTACCATCAGTGCTTAAGTACCTACATGAAGGATACATGCAGGAAAAGTGCTGCAGAATAAATGGCACAATTTATCCTGACATTTCTTGCATCGTGTTACTCCTTTTTGACTTGAGGAATTTTCAGAATCTTGTGCCATGTTAGCATGAAAAACTGAGATGATTTGTGTATTTTTTAAGGCAGTTGTTTGTTTCGTTAGTAGCAAAAAAGACCCACACCCCTGTTTCTTTGAATACAGTAGGAATAAAACATAAGAATTTCTCTGTTCACAGACTCTAGCAGTGAGCATTCAACCCCCAAAGTCATGTTTTTCATTCTTTTTTTCTTAGGATCACTGTGAATCAGTCTCACACAAATGTAATCACATGAGGTAACAATCTAGCCAGTAGACCCTGGAATCATTTTGTGTTTAGACTCCAGTGAACCATCTATAATCTCTGTAATACAAATTCCTGATTGGCCTTTCATATAGTCTGTATTTTGGACGATGAATAACTTACCCTTACTAAGTGGTTATTTAGTGTCAGCAAAAAGCAGCCTTACCAGGGCTGTTTCCAGTCCTCAGCATAACCTAACAAAAAAATGATTATATAATTTCTAGGAATAACTGCTGAGTATTATTTGCTTGAAAAAAAATTGTTTATATGTTTTAAAATACAAGTTGATGCTAGGAGTCTTATTTCAGTGTGTGCCTAGTTGAATAATTCTTACCATGTTGTAGATGTTTACTTGTACGGTAGATAGAGGAAATTTTTTTTCTTTCACTTCTGTTACTTCCAAGGGCCAATTTCCTTCAGGGAGAGTGGATATCTTCCCAGATTTCTCTCTTGAATTTAAAGGACTTGCTAGAGTTTGTGTCACATCACTGGCAAAACACTTTATCCTTCCCTTTTGTCAAACCTGAGCCTGAACTCAGGCTCTCTGCTCTCTGAATATTTTTTTAAATTCCATAATACTCTCTTTTCTGTTCTCCAGATATATTGGATCAGAGTTGACTAATAATTTCAGTTCCTCCTCAGGGACTTCTTATCAGCTTTGTGGAGAGAGAGAGAAGGAGAAAAAAGAATTATTAGAAGTCAAGAAAGTAATTTTTCAAGGGAATAACACATGGGAAAAAAGAGATGGAGGCAGACATCAGCAGATGAGTGGGGACAGACCACAGTATGAAGAAAGAGGTCAGGAATGGTGAAAGAGTACCGAGAAAAGAGAATGCGAGTACACAAGGTCTTTCTAGTAGAAGAGTTATAACAAAGGATCCAGTAAGACTGGGGAAAACATTGTGTTAGTAGCACTCTTTACTCCCTGCCCTGCCTGCTCAGAAAGGACACTTACAGTGACCTTCTCATGATTATGAGGCCTCCATAGCTTTGAAGGAATCATCATTCACTGATGATAAATGTGGTAATGTTTTAAGTGGATAAGGTACTTTGGATGATAACATTTTTGAGATTACTAAACCTAAACTGAAGTGTGTGCCAAATCAGTCTGTGTCACAAAAAAAAAATGAGAGGTTTCTGCATTAGCTTATCAAAGAGTGATTGCTTTCATAAACATTAAAAAGTGTGATTAATTTTACCTAACTTCAGCAAGTATTGCTGGATAGTGCCAAGAAGTTTGCATATCAGAAGTAGTGCTTATCTTGCTTTCATGTTTGGAAGTGTAATGAAATGTATAAATATTCCGGGTGACATAATAACCCTCATAATGTGGATGTAAATCTGGAACATAGGCCCCTTTTCCTGAAGCAAGTATGCAGAAATGGCATTCTTTAGCAGGGTTTGAGTGAAACAGCTTGCTGCTTTCTTCCTTCACCATTTCACAAATGGTGTGAATTTGGAAAAACGTATTTGGCTTTCTAATGCCAAGAGGCCATGGTCTGTAATTCTCAGTATATTTAGGAAACTGTACTTCAGCCAGACTTCATACCTTTCTCAGCAACCAGTGAAATTTACAATCATATCAATACAAATTAGAGTTTTAAGCTGAGATTTTAAGTGAGGTATTAGGGAGAACACTTTGGGCAGGATGATAATGAAGTATGATTTCTGTAGTTAACAAAAAATTATGCAAAAGAAGTCTGAAACTTTTCACCAAACTTGTATGAATTTATGCATTTAAGTGATAAATCAAAATAATCCATTCATAATCTTTAGTTGGCCACCTAGGATCTTTCTATAATTTATTTTCTGGTTCTGTGTGTAGGATGTCTCTTTCTCTAAAATCGTTATAAAGTAGAAGTCTACGTCTGCTGGAGTTTACAGGCTAAGATGAAGTCTAGTAGACCAAACAGGGAAGGAAAAATGCTAAATACACATCTGTTATGTGAATCAACCAGATATACTGCAGGGAATATAGCAGAAGTAATAGGTCTTTGGGAGGAATTATTGTAATATAACATATCAAGACATCATATAATCAAAGGCAGCCAATTACACTAGTTAGTGAAATCACACACTAGTTGTTGTGTAAGCATGGTATGTGTTGGTGGTTCCTAACATTTTTCAAGAGACAATCTTTTGATTAAGCATGTGTTGCAGTGGGTCCTAGTCAGTATATTTATCATGCAGTACTTGTTTCTGTGCAACTGAGTGTTGAATGTATATTATTATATACTGCATTGTGTATCCTAATGGTTTGCTGAGATAGTTCAGCAAGCTTTCCAAGGTTTTAGTAATACAAGGTCAGGATTACTTCTAAACTGTATTATTGTAACACTAATAGAGGTAACTGTGGAATCAAATGCACAACTGATTATAGGCTGAACTTCATAAAATTGTTTTCTTCTTCTCTGTTATTGCTCTGTGATGATGAAATCATCTATTTGAGAAGAGACTTGAAGAACAGCTAGGACTGCAGTACTTGATGTGCTTATAGTTAAAATCTGAGCCAAGCAAAATATTCTTTTGACCTCAGCATTGGATTTGCCACATCTGAACTATTTTCTGTTTATCTATGTAACAAAAATTTGAAGTCATAAGCTACAGCTTCAAGCATACTCTAGTCATTAGTTCCTTCTCATTCTGGAGGAACAGTCGTCTTTGATTCTGGAAGATAAAAGGATTGTATGGTGAGTATTAATCAAATAGCAGCATGTGACGACCATGATAATCAGATCAAAAATTAAAGTCAAGCATTCTTATGGTCAAGAACTCAGAACATACTTGTCCCTCTGTACAAAGGTAACTAGGGTGGAGTGGAAAATAGTTGCATACTGGTCCTGATGGATTTGTTTCATGTTGTTGTTTTTCTGTGCATCAGGCTTTTTTTTTCCAGCTTTAACTGCATTTGCTGCTGAAGCTGCATGTTCAGATTAGATCTTGGCAATTTGATCCAATATACTTTCTCTGTGTGCTGAAAAATCATGGTGTATTTTTCATTCCTGCCCATTTTCAGAATATTGGTTCTTGTTCTAGAAAATGCACTTTAATTTTAAAAAATGTGAATTTCATGGAGTCCTGCATTTTGTTTTATACAAAGTAGCCAAAGTCGGTGACTATGCTTGGCCTTGCCTTATTATGTGGAAATTTGTGAAGTTGGAGAGTACCTGCATGGAAGAGGCAGCTGACTTGAAGCTGACTTGTTTGGAATAGGAATTAATTAAATAGCTGTTAAAATGTGGTTTTTACTGTTTTTACAATTTTTTTTTTTTTTTTTTTACTTTACTTGTTTATTAAAACATCTTTCAGGTTCTATTCCAACTTACTGCATCTGGAATGCATTCTTCTTTTCAGTGACCTGGTTTAAAGACTAAAAAAAATTATTCATGACATGGTAATGTATATTTAACGTCTATTCCTAAACTTCTTTATATAAAGTAGGTATGGCATGTTTGGATGTGTTGTATTTATTGCATTGGCTTGTACTTTGTAGGAATAAGTTAAAGAAGAAAAAGTTGAATGAAAGATTGATGTTGAAATGCAAGCAGTTAGTAAGCCAGTGGTTGAGATAAAATCTGTAACGTTTGCCAGCAGTTACCACACAATGGTATCCCTCAGATTTCCTCTGGATTAGAAAAAAAGGGAATTCCTGGTAGCTGTGGAAACTCCACAGTAGCAATTGGCAAATACTGACCTTTTGCTCTCTTTGGCTGTACCTGTGAGAATATTTTCTACTCAGTGTTCCTTCTTTTACAGTGAGTATTTTTTTTTTTGGTACTTTTAAAATTCAGCTGCAATAAGAGATAAATAATTAGCCTTATTATCATGCTATGCAAACAATAAGCGTAATATATTTATTCTGGTGTAAATAACAACAGCATGTTGTTTAGAAATTAATTTCAGGCTCTCTCTTTGCAATTTCATTCAGGTACAGTAGGAATGCTTCTTCTTTTGAAACTGAATTAATCTTTTTGCTTTCTCTAAGTTCTGAGCTATGCTTCAGCACAATGTCATTAGTATTTTAAAGTAATACATACACTGCACTTTTTACCACAGCTGCTTGGTGTGATTTAAACCAATAAAATTGCTACTATTCCTGTCTGGTAAGTATCTGCAATTATCCCACAGCACATTCATCTACTAAGCATGTAAAAGAGAAGGCATGGTTAAAAAAAAACTCATAAAACTTAAAACACTTGTGTAATGTTTTTTTGAGACACAAGTAAATATCTTTGGGTGAGTGTGAGTATTTAGGTAGATGTGTGTGTATAGTATTTGAAAAACATGTCCTTGGAAGATGGTGTTCAAGATG